GGTCCAATACTTGGAGAATATTGGACTGGCAATAGAGCAATTTGATTGGTTGATTTTAGTTATTGGCCCTCTGACTGCCCGAGTCGTGTAATAATAAGTGGTATGGATGAGATTCTTAGATGAGGGCAATAAGATTATGAATATCATATATTGTTGCCTGACGTAGTTTAATTTTTAACAGGTCATGTATAATTCAAAGCATAAAGAAACCTCTCTTTGAAATAAAATCATGGGTTACCTTTAGAGCACTTTCACAGCATGCAACATTCATTTTGAATATTGATTTTTCTTTCCAAATCTACCACTTATATTTCTTGTGACCTTGTTCATTCTTGATTACATCCTCTTGATGGTGTGGACATCTCAGAATAACTATTTACTAACCAAGCACGAGGGCAGTACTGGGGAATGTTGGCCAGAGGTTGTGATAGTACAAAAACAACAAATAACCAACACTCCCCAGTACCACTCAAGCAAGCGAACCAAACTTGTTTATTCTGAATTTGCTGACTTTTGAGAACAAAAATACACTGCTTATGAATCTCCATGGAAACAGTCTATGGCAAAATTGGACGAAGGAAGAACAAATCAGAACATTCAGATTTACCTCAAGACTACCTTGCTATAAAATAAACCAAATTTAATTTCTTCTACCTAAAGGTCAAATAAGTTGTGATTTGTGTATTTTTAAAAATCACTCTACAGGTGTTTCTTAATCTTGTTTATTTTCCCAGTCTCTTTTTGAAATAAACTAGGATCTTAATTGCAATAATGGTACTCTGATATGATTTCCAGTAATGAAAATAACAGTCATATTAATTGAATAAGATTCTTAAATGTTATGTTCAATCGCAATGAAAAGGTTTTTTCGAAGAAGAAGATTGAGTAGGAAATAAATTTTTGTTTGTCATCTTTCCAATCAGAACTCTGGTTAGAGTGGCTCAAAGATGAGATGCCATTAGCATCTATCCCAGAACAGAGGGAAAAAGTCACTGCTCTGTTTGAAAGAGCAGTTAGAGACTATCAGTGTAAGTTTATACACTTCAGGGTTGTGGTCTAGCAGTGCCCAGTGGTCCCTGGCACCTTACTTTTGCTCTTAGGCAACTCAGGAATCTTATTTTTTTTCATGAAAAGCATATGCAGGGCACCCGGGATTTCACGGTTTCAGAGCACAGGGCTCCTTTCAATTTTTCTTAGAGCACAGCCTTGCACTTTAGTACTTATCTTCCCTGCACTATATGTTGTTGTGGTTGTGTAAAAATAGCACTAATGTGATGAATAGAACTCTTAAACAGACGTGAAAAATCAACCACTGATTGAAAAAAAAGGGTGGTGAGTAGTTTATTGAACTGTGATTTGATGTTTAAAAATCATCTTTAACTTGTGCAGTTATGTACATGACAAAATGAAATGAACATATGAAAAAAATCAAACTGATCCGTTACCAATCTTGTTCAGATATTGGCAAATTTTGTTCCAACTTTGGGTGTCTAAGGTAAATTGAAATTTTTTCATCATTGATAAGCTTCTGTGTCCTTATTTTTGAGCATCACCCCCTTGCAATAGATTGGCACCATCAACTCGTCAGAAAAACTGACAGAAATGCAAGTAGGGAGGTACTAATTTGTACTGGAATAGTAAGTCATCGGGGGGGGGGGGAGAGTTAATCCAAGTTTCTTCTTAGTTATGAAACTTAGGGAACTTTATATAAGTGTGAATTAATTCGCTCTTTCCCTTTCAATTTGTGTGAGCGGTTGTCTTTTTTTGGAGATGTAATTTCTGACCAATGGCCTACTCCCTGAGATAAGTTTAGGCCTGAAAAAAGTGCCATGGCTTATACAAGATTTGAACTTTTCTTCATTCCTCACAGCTGTGCGAGTTTGGATTCTTTACTGTCAGTTTATGATGGATATCATGGAGGGAGAAGACGGTCTTCAGGCAGTGAGATCAACATTTGAAAAAGCTATTATTGCAGCTGGTCTTCATGTAACTGAGGTACTATAATGCAGTTCATACATCAAGTTATCATAAGGGGTATCTCAAAATGTTGTACAGTATGAAACCTTTTATTAGTTATAGTAATTGGTAGGAACTTGGTACAAAATTTTTTGTAGCTACTGCTTAAGAGAGGCTGTTGTTCTGTTTGCAGTGAACACAGGGATTTTGATAGTTTTGAAATTTAAACAATTGTAAAAACAGAAGACTACTTTTGGGGGTAATTGTAGCACCCACATTGCATATGTTCTTTTCCTGAGATCTATATTATGAAATATGGCATCAGGCCTGTGCAATTATTGGGACTTTCAAGAAACAGGCTCCTGACAAGAAATGTGAACATCCTTTGGCAAATTTTTTTGGAGCAAGGACGAAGTTTTCTTTAATAGAGATGGTCTGAATCTGTTCAAGTTGTTGACTTGTATTTTGATTATTTTTTACTCCTTTCTCAATTGTAGGGATCCTCAATCTGGGAAGGCTATAGAGAGCTAGAAATGGACATTTTAGGATCCCTAGAGGTACTGTATATCTTTGTCTACATTTGCAATGTCTATTCAGTTCTGTGGTTGATGAGGCAGAGCCTGCAAAGCAAATTTTTGAGGGTGGAGAGGCTAAAGATGCATAAGCTTCCTTGATCAGGGCAAGGGCTGGGGGCATGTTTAGCAGAACAAGTTTTCTTTTAGAGGAGGTGTGGGGAATAACCCCCTTCCTTCCGGCCCCTCTCTCTGCATGGTCCCTGTAAGAATGTGTCTCTGATTACTGAAATTTAGCTTACTCAGGATATGTAATTTTGTACTGTAAAGCAAATTAGTAGTGTATCCCTGCACATTTGATGTAAATTTTCACTTTCATAGCTATTTTTTTACAAGTTAGAAACAGTAATAACGATAATAATAATAATATACGTTAATTGAGGCTCCCCCTTGGGGGCTTTTCAGCCACAATGTAGACTAACTAAGAGCTTAAAAATCCCCACTGGCAAGAGGCAGACCAGTGGGCTATTTACAGAGTGCAGCGGAGGAGTTGAACTAGAGGCATCTGAGAACAAATCCAGTGAGTGGTAGGGTGGAGGACTGGAACCCGGGACACCAGATTACAAGTCCAGCACCCTAACAACTCGGCCACGCTGCCTCCTTCAGTCTGCTCAGTTTGTTTATGTCCTTTTCAGACAATAATGCATTTGTTATCCTGATGTAGTAGACATAAAATAAAAGGACAGGGTCTGTTTGGTTTAATACAAATATGAGTACATGTATTTTTGGTAAAAACATGATTTTTTCCTTAATTTTAAACTTCTTTTGAAGAGATGAAAATAAAACTTTTGAGGGTTTATGGAAGTCATGAAAATATTCTTGTTTTCAGAATGAGTGACTGATAGTGATAACAGAATTTTTTTTGTCCTGTCCTTGTTTCTGACAGCAAATGGTGACAGAGGAAAACAAAGAAGTCATGGCTGAGAAGATGTAAGATATAATGTATATATAGAAACAATTACTTTATTATTAAATTACTTAAAGACATGCACTTGCACAACCATACAAAGACAAAAAAAAAATTAAACCGTGGAACAATTACCACTCTTTCACACACACCAACAAAAACTATGCTACAGCATGCTAACATGTCTTAGCAAAGGTTTATTTACAAAATATTAGGACTTAAAAGGTAGCTCAAAATGATTTGGATATATCAACAAAGTTGAAATGGTAAATTGGCCGCCGTAAAGATTACAAAAGCTGACATTTCGAGCGTTAGCCCTTCGTCGGAGCAAAGGGCTAACGCTCCAACGAAGGGCTAATGCTCGAAACGTCAGCTTTTGTAATCATTACGGTGGCCAATTTACCATTTCAACTTTGTTGATATATCCAAATAATTTTGTTACTCCCACCGACGCAGCCCCAAACAGTTTCTTTCGAAACTATCAGCCTTTATTCATTTGTAGCTCAAAATGGTTGCATTATGTTGAAACAACAACCTGTTATTTTTGCTCTCTTTGCCTCTTACTCAAAAGCTAGTTGGGTGGTCGCAACTTTTTATCACTGAATTGCAAATGGAAAATCACTTTTCGTAAGAAGTTGTGGTAGTAAGTAAAAGTGACGTTAGACTTTCACCTATACAGTAAGGATTCTTATCTTCCAGAAATGTCAGCTTTGGTGTATTGGGGACAATTCTTTGTCGTTTTAACAGCCCTACATTTATGCATTATCAAGTAAATAGCTCTCTTTTTTAATGAAAGACAACTTTTTTTCACAGCACCTCTCAAAAAGAAAGAGTGATGTCAGTATTCAAAAGACAGCTTGCTGTTCCACTGTTAGGTACAGAATGGATGTCATCATTGCTTAACCAGGCTTCTAATTATTTTATTTAGCTATCAAGTTATCTGCTTGTTAATAATATTTGTATACCCTATTTGGCAACGCAGTCTTTTGTTAGGATACTTTCTTTGTAGTGATCTATTTGATAAAAAAAAGATAACCTCTAAAGGTAATGAAAATTTAAAGCAAAGGTTTTTTCACCTTTTGTTTTGTTTTGTTTTTTTTTATCAAAAACCAGAAACCACTGAACATCTAGAGTATACCTGGGGAGTTTGTTGTGTAATGACCAATGATTATATGGGAGACCAGGAAATGTGAGCCAACCTCAATGAAATAGAGCTATTTTATCAGTGATAATCTTAGTGATACTTGTATTTTGATTGGTTTTTACTTATAATAGAGGCGCTGTGGCCTCATGGTTAGTGCGCTCGACTCCTGATTGAGTGGTAAAGGTTCAAGCGCTGACTGGGGATATTGTGTTGTGTTCTGATGGGCCACTTGACTCATAGACAGACTTTACTTTTTATCTTACTTATGATCTATCAGTGGACAGACACATAGATGATCTCACTATAGACAGAAGTTTCTTTTTTTTATCTATATTACCATGAGCCTGTTCAGAAATAGATTACAGAAGAACATCATTATGGTTAGAACATAGATGACACACTTGGTTGTGCCTCGTGTTCTACTGTTTTGCTCTTACCACCTTTTAAAATCTTCTGTGATCTATGTTTGAATAGATTCATGGTAATGTGGAAGCTATTTGTTAATTACTGCAAAGAGCGAGGATGTTTCACACTTGATTGACTTGTTTTCCTCCAAAGAATCACATTCTCAAATGTTTCCAGTTTTGGGGGTTTTATCATAACTACCAAGGTGTCACGGTAATTAATGAAAGAACTGCACCAAAAAAAGAAACAATTGAAATAAATGCAATGCTTCATTTTTTTGTATACCAGTACACTGTGTACTGAAAATTAAATGGAAACTAGCATTCACCTTCAGAACAGCTCTGTGCACTGGTGTATCTCTTATGAGATGAGACCGTTGTACCAAATTTCAGCTTTGCTGATCAGTTAAAAAGAAGTTCCTGAAAAAAGAGATGTTTTTTTTCCCTAACCCTTTTAAACTTTTCTTTTTTTTTTTTTTTTGTTCAAGGTAATCTTCTAAATGTTCAATAGCTATTAGTAAAAAATATAAAATGATTAAATTGCAATTTTTGGTGAAAGGTATACAAGCAACCTTAAGAGAGTTTGAAGACTGGCTAGAGGACTCTGTTCCTGATGCGATCATGATTGCTTACGAGAAAGCTTTAGCTAAGTTAGAAGAATGTCTTCCTTTCGAGGATACACTGGTAAGATCTGTTTTAATGTGATCAATAGAGTATCAAGGGATCTCCACCCTAAATTATACTAATTGAGTGTCAAGATTAAAGGAGTGTGGCATGTTTCTCAAATGGTGATTGATGTAGATTATTTTCTCAAACGAGCAAATGGAAAACCAAAACTATTTGTGACTACAGTATAAGAATGGCAAAGATAGCCGCTTAGCACGTTGTAGTTTGACAAGCTCAGATTGGTTTGTGCACTTGATTAGGTAACTAGCGAAATTTTTGTTCTCTGGTTTGTTTGACTGTTACGTTAGTATCTTGCGCATCATCTGTTCTTTGGTTTGTTTGACTGTTGCGTTAGTACATCGCGCACTATTTGTTTTCTGGCTTGTTTGACTGTGACGTTAGTATCTCGCGCATTATTTGTTTTCTGGCTTGTTTGATTGTTACGTTAGTATCTCGCGCACTATTTGATCTCAGGTTTGTTTGACCGTTACGTTTGTACCTCGGACACTATTTGCTCTTCGGTGTATTTGACTGTTACGTTGGTACATCGAGTGCCACCTTTTTTTTAGTTTGTTTGACTGTTACGTTAGTATCTCTATTATGCTAATTTGTCGTTTTTTGTGTTTGATTGTTACGTTAAAACCTTTTTCTCAATGCAATGACTATTGATTTTTAGGGTTCAGCTCAAACACCCAAGACTACTGAATTTAAGTCATACCTGGCATATGAACTGAAGAAAGGAGATCCAGCGAGAATACAATGCTTGTACGAGAGAGCAATGAAAGAAAATTGTCTTGTTGGGGACATGTGGACTGAGTATACTTCTTATTTGGTGAGAAAAGTAAATGCATTAACAATTTCAAACTTAGGTCAGAAAGTGATTTCTCCCTGCGATATCGACACATTTTTACGGTAAGATAGATAAGAACTATATTGAAACACGATAATAATTAAATCTAACAGCTTTGAGGGGTCGTGTATCTAGTTTATACATTATTTAAATAAGAAGACTAGCTAAATAAGTAAAAGGCTAACACTGACATCTTAATCAAAAGTAGAGAAAGTCATCATTTTTATGGCGGACAGTTGAAGCTGAAGCTGAAGCAACATTAAAGTTAAAATCTCTAAAATAAGGCTTTGTTTTCAAATTTCGAAACAGCTCATTCGGGTTTTTGTGCAAGATATTACGTTCATTTAAGCTAATAGTGTTTTTAACTCTTTAACTCACATCAGTGTTCAAGACAGAATTTCTCCTTACAAATGTCATCATTTTTTTGCATTGATCGTGACATCATCTCGTTGTTTAATGTATGAGTGACTAATTTCATTTTCTAAATAGGATTCTACATTGAATATATCCTCAGTGGTTCTTCCAGTGCATGAGCGTGCTGTCAGAAACTGCCCCTGGGTGTCTCTTCTCTGGCAGAATTACATACGAGCACTGGTTAGTCTTTTTTATCCGTTTCTTTACTCAAATTGAGAGGCTGTAACAGCAGTTCGTGAAATGACACCCGTAGGTCTCTGGCCTCCCTGGTAGATTATACTCTCCTTTGGACCCTTAAGAGCCGTATCTTACTGTTGTTGGGTTTGTTACAGTTTCTAAGAGCACGTCATCAAATGTAGTGTAGGTTTAGTTTCTGGTTAGGAGTCTACCTTCGACTGGACCCTTCTTGTGGCTGGACATACTGATTGATTTATTTTATTACTGAATGATTAACGGACTAGGTAGCTGGCAAACTGAATTACTGACCAACTGGCTGGTTTTCTGGCTGGCTGGCTGGCTGGCTGGCTGGCTGGCAGACTTACTGACTATTAATTGAATGACTGTCTGATTGATTGATGGACTGGCTGATGGACTGAATGACTGACTAACGGTCTGTCGGACTGACTGATAAGCTGGCTGGCTGGTAGGGTGACTGACTAAATGACTGACTGACGGTCTATGTGACTGACTGATAGGCTGGCTGGCTGGTAGGGTGACTGACTGACTGAATGACTTGTGACTGACCATCTGACCGGCTGATAGACTGATTAATTTATCGACCGATGGATCGATTGACTGACTGTTTTACTGAATGGATGCATAAATGAATGAATGAACGGACGAACGAACGAACAAACGAACGATTGATTGATGAACCTAATGGGCGACTGAGTATCGAATTCTGTTTAACAAACAACAAAATTCTATAAGAAAATTCATTACTTGACGAGGGAATTCCGCATTAAATTGCACGCGAAAACCGATATCTCACGAATCACGAAGCGACGAGTGCGATATCGGTTTTCAAGTGCAATTTAATGCGGAATTCACGAGTGAAGTAATGGATTTTCCTTGAATCGCACAACTGCCATTTTACATGTGTTATAAATTTTCTCATTTAACAGCTCTCTCTCGCTACTTCAGTGTACATCATTTAACAGTAAATACTGAAAAGATCTGATCACTGCTTTTCTATTTTGTTAGGAACGCAACAAACAGGACGGCAACAAAGTGAAAGGTATGATAGCTTTTTAAGTTCAAGAAATTTTTCATCTCTCTGTTATTTTATTGCCTTCCCACTTGGCTAGCCTCATCTTCATCAGTTCAGCTTTTTTTTAAATCAAACCTGAAACATTTACGTGTACAAGTTTGATAGAAACCTTCTAACAATTGCATAGTATTAATCTCTATCTTGGCCTTTTGTGGGCAACTAAACCTGGCCTTAAGGCAGTTTTATAAGTTGAATGAGTTTCCGAGTGGGTTGACAAGTTCCTTTTACTTTGTTACAGAAACTCTTGACACAGCCCTGGGATGCGGTTTTTCTGTCAGTGAAGACTATCTTCAGCTCTGGCATTGTTACTGTGATTACATGAGAAGAAGAGTGGAGGACTGGGGAGAAGGTATGATGTACTCACCATGGTAGTGGAGTTGGGGGTATGAGATTTTTTTAGCTTTTTAGGTACCCACCCCCTCCCCCTTCCCCCCACCTTGCAGTGTGGAAATGATCAAAACGCAGCATAAAATCAAATTTACCTGTTTGTCTCTGCTAAAGATATACGCAAAGTACATTTTGAGAGACTTAAGAAAGGGTATGCGCTTGGTTTGGTGTATTCCGCCGCCTCTGATCACGTGGGCTTGTGTCTGAATATTCTTAGGCTCTTCTTGTAGTATTATACAGCGCACTTTACTGTGTTTAACTTCAAGAGTTAATTTTTTTTTTTTTTTTTTTAAGTGTATGGTCGGGGCTGGTCAGAAGAGTGCTTGGTCACTTCACCTTTCGTTTCGAGTGGGTGTAATAAAGCTAAAACCAAAGCAGTCACTTTAGCCAATCATAGCCAGGAAAATATCACCAGGAGCCAATGAGAACTCGTAGTAAAAACAAGGAAACTTCCTGAAGCGCGGGAAAAACGCGGGTGACCAAGTCGCGATTGGTTTTAGTTTTGAATCTGATTGGTTGAGAAAGTGGCGCGAGTTTTTGGACCAGTCACATTACGATAGAGAGCAAGACCAAAATAATCTGGTACTACTTTCGACTCCTATAAGAAAATTGCTCTAAAGGGAGGAGATTCATCATCCTCTCTCAAGCGGATCGTGCCATCTCTTGCTGTTGTGATACAATGAATATATGAACTTCATATATTCATTGTATCTGATTTATCATCATGGGGTTATTACGAATCAACTTAACGGCCTGCTCCCAGTTAGCTTGTTACCTCAATTGGTAGAGCGCTGCACTAGTATCGCAGAGGTCAGTGGTTCGAATCCTGTACAGGCCTGATTTATTCAGGTCTGATTTTCGCTATTGCATAAATAGCGCTCTCTACTACGAGGATCGTACATCATACGTATCTTGCTGTTGTATTGGAAACTGCTTCATTGTTGTTTACTCATGAATTTTAACATTCTACAGATAGTCAAAGTTTGAAAGACCTCAGGGAAAATTTTAAAACTGCAACAGAATATCTACAGAACTGTAAGTTTTTAAATTTGCACGTTTTGAGAGTTTATGTGTCGCTCTAATCTTATTGCGTGTCAAAAAAGGTCTTTTTCTCATACTGCTTCTACACTGCTATGTAGATTTTGGCAATGACGGTGATCCCACAAATCTCTTAGAAAGATACTGGGCAAGAATTGAGGTAAGGTTTTATCGTTAACCCTTCACACCCTTAGAGTGATTGGCTTCTAATTTCTCCTTACTGTATCACCCTTGAATCAAATATAAAGGTCATGAGAATAAAGGAAGTGATCACCAAACTAAGAAGCTCCTGATTGTCAATCAAATTCTCCTTGTCAGCACCTTAGGAAATGTAAAGAGAACAGTATGGAGAACATGAATACTAATGTAGGGTGCGCACGGTCAATAGTGCATTTTCCAAGCAGGAAGAGTGGCCAGAGCGCAAAGGTTGCCGTTGGACTTCATTGCCTTGAAACTTTCCCATCGTTTAATTATCTGACAAAGAAAAAAGATACTAAATTTTTAGTTCATTCGTTGGCCATTTTCTAACTTATTGTTCATTTTTGGTTGCCGTTGCTAGGCATTTCATTGTAACAATATAACAGAATGTCAGAGACTTTGGGATAATGTGATACTCTCCAGGCACGGACGAGAAGCTGAGTTCTGGCTCGAGTATGCGAACATATTAAGGTCAGCATCTCGTTAGCAGCTCTTCTGACGAATTGAACAGCGTAGTTTAGAGTAAATCTTCCAGCATTCTATCACAAATGTTGCAATTTGATTAGCTTTACCCTATTCCACGATAAAAAGTGTGTTAATTTAGTAGCCTAACAGCGTGCGTTTGGAAACAAAACAAAACAAAGCAAAGACAGGAGCTTGCCTTTTTGATAAATTGTAAATAACTAGTAGATTTATACTAGGACAATTTGATGAATGGAGAGGTTTAGCACCGCGTAACCTTCCTTTTCTTGCCATTTTTTCACGTTTGCCGGTTGCGCTCTACCGTTTCTACGGGAAAGTAACCTATTTCGCTTTTGCCGCGTACGTAAGATATTGTTTACTTTCTCTTTTACAGAGTAGAAGTTAATTGCCGGAAATGAGCGCCAAAACTATTCCTTGCAAGTCATACAAGGGCGCCTTCAAATCCACCTTGACACGAGCTCACGCAAAGCTAAAGCAGCACGGTTCGCGCTATTTTACGTGAAACGTGAAAGGACAAGCTATTTCACGTAAACGCCGTGCTAAATCTCTCTATTCTCTCTCTATTTCTAAGCGCGATGATAGATTCGGGCTGTATCCGCATTAACTAACACGCGATACTGAGAAACCTCGTGCTCATAACCTTATGAAATAAAGAATATATGGAAACGATTAACCTATACAATCTTGTATTACTTTACACACTCGATTGACAATTGCACTTATTTTTATGTCACTTAATCCTTTCTACTTTGTTTGCAGGTCTTGTCGTGACGTCAAAAAGTGTCGTAAAATTCTCCAGCGGGCTGTGCAGTCAGTCAGTGATAACCCTGAAATGGTAATCCAAGCCCTGCTCAGTTTTGAGCGGGAAGAAGGTGAGAAGAACTTAGGAAGAATTGGGTCAGTACCGAAAGCTGCGGTTTGAATGTAGTGTTATAACACTCAGCTGTTATCTTCCTCATTTTGTCGCTCTCTTTCCCTCCTCTTCCCCCTCCTTCTATACATTCTTTCCCACCCCCACCCCCCCATAAAACAACAGTCACTGGCAGCCGCAGTTTGATATTGTTATGAGCCTTTGATATTTTCTTCCTTGCTTTCTCTTTCTCTTCCCCTCCTCTCTCCCCCTCCCCCTCCCCCTGCATAACCTCTCCCGCCCTAACTCCCCTGAAAGCAACTGTAACAATAGTGTAGAAAAGGGAGTTTGTTTGCTTGATGGTTGAAAACGTTAATGTTGTATTTTCAAGTTTGTTTAACATAAAATACTGTTGTCCGGACGGATGCGATTTTTGAATATTTGTGAACAAGTTGTTTCATCTTTAAGGTTGTGTTTCGTTTATTAGGGACGTTGGAGGACTGGGATGCAGCTTTCTCAAAGTGTCGAGTACAGCTATTGAGAGTCAACGAACGAAGACAAAAGGTTATTTACTCCAAGATACTTCAATGTATTTTATAAAAACAGACATTTGCAAAGTAAGCAAACAAACTTTGCTAGATTCTTTACGACTTTCTAAATGACCGATGAATGGAACAACTACTATTTTGGATAAACTTGCGGGTTTACGGACTTTATCGTCCATTCCTAAAAACCACTACGAACAGTTGAAAGTCAGCCAAGAGACTTGACAACAATACGAGTGTGAATTTGTGAGCAGAAGTGAAACTGGTGGTCCGTTTTGCCTTTTTTCTTTGTCCATAGATTAATCAATAGATTGTTAACTGACTGAGGGACTCATTGATTAGCAGATTGATTGACAGATTGATTAATTAAAGGGTCGTGTGGTTTGTTGTTCGATAATTAAGGGATTTAGTGATAAAATGACTTTTTTCAATTGAATTTCAAAAGTATTCTGGAATTGCCTCATGTGATTTGTCTGGACAATTGGCGCCATTGTCTCAACCAATCAGATTTAAAACCAGAGCAAATCACGGCTTAGTCACTCACGTTTTTCCAGGGTTCGCACAGGTCATAGAAAACCTGGAAAGTCACGGAATTTCAAAGTTTCATTTTCCAGGCCTGGAAAGTCATGAAATTTAGGTGTGGGTCATGGAAAACCATGGAAAATCAATATGCTCTCTATGAGTGAAAGGCAATAAGACCCAAAGTTGAAAAGTTAACTGACGAGTCCAAAAATCAGATTTAACTTCATTAGAAATCAAAAGAAGCACGCATTACCTGAGGTCATGGAATCTTTCAAAAGGTCATGGAAAAAGTCATGGAAAGTCATGGAATTTTAACAGGTCAAAAGTGTACAAACCCTGTTTTCCCACGCGTTTGGCCAGTTTGCTTGTTCTTACTGGAATTCTTCATTTTTCCTGATTCGCTGCTGTAATTAATGTGGTTTTGCTCTCACAAACTCAGTTGAAAAGTTTTTATTGAGGGTTTGATCGATCGATCGATTGATTGACTGATTGATTGACTGATCTGGGCAGGTTGCTGAGAAAGAGGCTGTACGTGCAAAAGCTGAAGAGGAAGCTCAAGAGAAAAGAAAAATTGCAAATGCAGAGAGAAAGGCAACTAAGAAGATGGAACAGAAAAAGGCCAAGTTTGAGATGAGGAAGAGAAAGGTAATGTCGATTTTTGACCTGTGTCTGTCAGTTTGTTATTAAAAGGTTAGTCAGAGCTGTGCGGCTTGAATTATTCTTCAAAATCCTTCCAACTTTTTTTGGGCGACATGAAATTATGTGCGCTGTGTTTTTTTACTGTTAGGCCAATGACCAACCTACCCCTGGAGAAAAAACTCAGAAAATGACCGATGACAGACAAGATTCGGGAGAACCAGTGGCTAAAAGGCCTCACGGTAAGTGCTAAAATTCTTTTGAAACCCTTCTCGACAGAAAATCTCGATACCTCTTCCTCGAACTGCACACGGATGTTTCCCCTTCCCCTCAACTTTCTCCTCCGTCAAAGTAAAACTTTAATTCCCTTAGTTCCAAAGTAAGAGGAGCTTCTTGGTTAACCCTTTTAATAGAAACATTCCCTTCTGCCTATGGTAAGACTTCGATATTCACTCTTCTTTTTTTCAAAAGGGTAAGATTTTCTTTACCCTGCATCAAGTTTCAGATGTGCTTCTTATTCCATATTCTCTTCTTTAGAATTTAGTTTCCACCACCTCATTCTCGAAGGGAAGAGTAATATTTTAACTTTATTTTCCTCGCGTTAAGTTCTGATCTTCATTCATTCGCATTCGACACATATGGCCTCGTGTCTGTTTTCCCGTAAAAGCCTGACAGTATGGTTTAGCCTTCCCTTTTTGTAATCGTCAGACAGACTCAGACCGCTTGCGGAACAATCTGTGTTTGTTTTATGTCTCTTCTCTAGAAAAATGATAATTTAACGTACATGTGCGTTTGGTTTGTTTTTTTTTTTAGTTGTGATTGGAGGTGAAGTTCTCTCGTCAACTCAACCGTTGCCTGCAGGAGAGCCATCTACGAAAATTTCACATGACAGGTTAGAGCCTAACTAAAGAGGCCCTCATCAATAGCGCTACAGGACCAGTGTTACTCCGCTTGCGGGAAGATTGGAGACGGGTCGGGGAGAAGTTTACCTGGGGTCTGGCACTAATACTATATGGCACAATTATGGCCTCATACCTTTCCCCGCGGGCGAAGAAGCGTTCGTACCGAGGCGATAATGATGAAGGCCTGCTTGTAGGCTATGCATGCTTACCCCTCAAAATAGTCGATTGCTTCTTAAATTTAGATGGCAGTTTGGTATATATTTATGTTGAAAGATAAGGAGAGATGTTAATTCCATCTTGAGGGTGGAACAAGGAAAAAGAAAACCATGAACTTGACTTTAAATCTTTTTTTATTTTCCAGCACAAAGGATCCCAATACAGTATTCGTTAGTAACCTTTTGTTTTCAATTGATGAGGAGCGGCTCATGAAAACTTTCTCACCGGTAGGTTTATGTTCTTTGTTATGCTGGAGTAGAATTACCAAGTGCTCGATGATTTGAAAGTCTTCCTTTCATTTTACAGTCAGATTAAGGCAAGTCTTTTGTGCCTTTCACTCGGGTCGAGGAAAGGCAAGCAGGAGGCGAGGATAAAGGGCATATCAATTTCTCCCCGCCCCCCCGATCTCCCTCCGACCCGCGCTTGCGTCCGCTCCTCCTGGATAACGCTAAGAAATAACGCCTGTTCTGCTGTTGTGACAGTCAGATCCTTTCATTCGTAGTAATCTTCGAGTTAGTTTTGATGTTGGGCCTTGTAATCAACTTGAATTCCTATTGGCCAACGCAAATGAAGTATTCTCCCTTTTCCTGTACATCTTGTGAACTTTAAACGGTAATATTACATCTCTGAGTTTGACATTTTGTACATTATTGCCCCTCACAGAGTTAGAGACTTTCAGTTTATGAATTAACGGTACTGGTCGGCTGTAGAATATATTAGGTGTAGTGGTATTTGAACTTTTTGTTCACCACCTCGCTACAAAGGGTTTATTTTTAAGACCAGATGTACAGTGAGTATGCAGTTTTAGACGTTTTACAATTTGTCCTGATTCTAGCTTGGCGAAATAAACGAAGTAAGGCTTGTCAAAAACCAAATGGGGAAATCAAAAGGATACGCGTACATCGAGTTTAAGAACCAGGTGAGAAGAAACCAATGTTGTTGTGTCTCGTAACAGTTTGACCCCTGATGGTAACTGGCATTTAATTTCACCCCTTAGGTAGCTACTAAATCAAATATTAGGGTCATAAGAATTAAGAAAATGGTCGCAAACTGTAAAAGCTCCTGATTTGTAGCTAAATTCTCCTTGTTAGTCCCATAGGAAATGCTAAGGGAACAGTATGGAGAATATACATGCTGATGTTAAGGTGCTAGGGATTTATGCGATTCAGTTGTTATTTGTTTTGCTGCTCACCTAAGTAACATGATTATCAAGAAAACAATAGTTCCCTGTCACAGTGTTGCGCATTTGGTGGGAGAGACCTTTGGGCGGTATGGAACCCTTTACATTGTCGATTCCATACATTTACACGGTTCCTCTGTTGATGTTTCAATTTAGGCCTCTGTGCAAGCTGCCCTGTCCATGGATAGGACTAAGTTAGATGGCAGACCAATGTTTGTTTCGCCTTCTGTGGACAAATCTAAGAACCCGACGCAGTTTAAGGTTAGTATCAGAGTTTTTTTTCCTTCATTCTCTTCATCCACAACTAAATTAATATAGGTGACGAGATTTTTACTTTGTATTTTGAAATTTGATTCACCACTGTCTCTCTGGCCTCCAGGTGTGCCATTATTTGTTTTTCCTTGAGCCATTACGAAAATCAGATCGTAAACACTCTAATTTTTCTTAAAGATGCGTTGCGTAATTTATTGCTTCCTTCTATCACTAGTTTCCTACAACTCTCGACAAGAAAACATTGTTTGTCTCCAATCTTCCATTCGAAGTCAAAGAGTCAGAGTTGGAGAGTTTGTTCGAAAAGGTAATGTTTGATGATATCCAGGTCTTAGATCTTGTTATTGGTGCCTCTCCGCGAAATAAGGTTTAGAATTTGTCCACAATGTTTCTTCTCTTGCAAATGTTTTCTTGATGACGCATAGTTAAGAGTGCTTCCTAACTTGTTCTTGAAACGTCTCATACAAAGGTTTGGGCCTATTACTAGAATGTTGGCGATCTAATTCTTATCTTCGATATCTCATTTCAGTATGGAAAGGTGAAGCAAATACGTCTGGTGACCAACAGAGCGGGCAAACCGAAAGGATTTGGCTACGTAGAGTTGGAAGATGAGGTGAGAGGATGTGTCGTTTATCGCTAACCTCTCACGGATAGTAGCATAAGCCTCTCCTTAGGTTTTCAGTTTACTTATGGTTGTGAACGTGCTATTGTTCAAAATTGCACTGTCCTCGGTTTCAGGTTGTAGATTTTGTTCACTTAAGGTTTGAGTAAAGAGCCCTTTAGAAAAATGGTTATTTTAAAAATCAAAACGAATGACGGAGTCGTACTGAGAAGTTAACTATGATCTTCGCAAATCCCGAACAATCTTCGCAATCATTAGTCGAAAGTGACTATATCGGAGAACCACAATCTTTCTTTCTGTATATATATATATATATATATATATATGTTTATTGCCATGCCTAAATTTCGAACGTGTTTGTTCAAGGTTATTCAAAACGCAATGTGTCACTGTTTCAGCTAGAGTAGCAGACAAAATATAGCTTTTATGAAACTGAATGTAACAATGTGGCGGAAAGGTGAAGGGTTAACCGTTCAACCCCTAAGAGTGACTAGAACGTAATTTCTCCTTACATTATCACCCCTGAATCACACATTAAGCTCATGAGAATAAAGGAAATGATCAACAACGAAAGAAACTCTTGATTGTTAAGTAAATTCTCCTTGTCAGCACCTTAGGAAATATAGAGAGATCAGTATGGAGAAATTGCATACTGATGTTAGGGTGTAAAAAGGTTAAGAAGTGAAAGGAAGGTGAGAGGCATGTTAAAAGATTATGGCATGTGATGATCATTGAAATTGTTGTCAACAGACTGGAGCATCAGCGGCCATTGTAGCTTTGGACGGAAGTCAGGTCGGAGACCGGCAGATTTCAGTGGCTTTGTCAAATCCACCCAGCAGAAAACCCAGGCAGCCTGGGGCCGACCAACAGCAAAGATCGAAAGAACAGCCGGGAAGGTATGTATGTTTGATTGTTTCGAAATAACATCCCTCTGTCATCTCTTCCTGCTGCTGGCTGCCAGTTGAGTTGAAAGCTTGAAGTAACTGCGTATCTCTACACTTTAATGTTTGTTTGTTGATGTAGTTCGGAACTTTTCAAATATATGGGGCTGAATGTTATGGAAAATGGATCTCTCTACGATGGCCAGTTTACATTATCAACTCTGAAAAACACTATCTTGTTATCTCACCCCCCCCCCTCCTTACTGAGGCCGCACCGCAGTTTCTTTAGAAACTTACCCCCTTTATTCATAAGATCGATTATTGTGTGGATTTACGTGAAGCACTTTTTATAACACACAAAATATAACCTGGGAAAATCTTAATACAATATCGCAGATCTATGATACTCCCAAAACTGAAAGTTGATAGTCGCGTATTTCATGATTGCATGTCCTAAGGGCCTCTTCGCCACGGTAGGTTATCAGAGAAAGAGCAGGTATATGTCATGGAGAAATCTGCTCTTCCAAAAGCATTAAGAAAATTTTATTCCTTGTTTGTAACAGTCGTGGTCGAGCAAGAACCCAGCTGCAACTCATACCGAGGGCACTGCAGAAAACTGCGACCTCTGCACCAGCTTCTTCGTCAGATAACTCGACCAAATCGAGCGGAGAAAGGACTGAAGCCAAAAATGGTGGTGAAGTCAAGCAAGGTTTTAGTAATGAGTATTTTCGAAGCCTTTTGCAGAAGAAGAATTAAGCTTGGTGAAGAATAAAGGCAAAATGTCTGAACAGAACAATTTGCTCAAAAAAGAGCAAACGTCGAAACTTGTAACGCAACAGTTATGACTGCCATGTTTTTTTTATCGCTTTAAAGGAAAACACGAAGTGGACACCATCTACTGGGAGACTTTTGAAGAGCTTTATAACTTGTCATCTTGTAGACGTCCATTTTAAACATGTTACTATCGCTTGCTTCCGTTCTGTTTTAAGTTATTAAAGGAGTTATGCATGTTGGACGTTTGCGGTTAACGGCCAACAGCAAATAGCAGAAAAGTCCTTCTCACTGTCTGCCTTCCACCGTTTGTATACTTACGTGAAAATATTTGTATTACCTGTGAACGAGAGATCTTCAGACATTTTCCCGTTAGATAGATTGAAGGTTTTGCAAAGTGAGGTATATCAGAATGGAATCAAAGTTAATTTTTGCGATTTGCGGTTTCCATAAACATGCTAAAACTCACTTTTGTCCGTTTGTAGAGGCTATCGTAGTACTTATACTGATTTTAATAAGTTTTCTGACAGGGGAACCATGAAAAAAAATAACAATTGTAATGAACGTGACATTAGAATGTTAAATACAAAGAATCCAAAATTGATACGTCTTTCTCGTGGTATTTTCAAAGTTGTGAAACCACCTCTCGTAGCTGGTTAGCTCAATCGCCGGACTGATGTGCGGGAGGTCGAGGGTTCAAGCCCCGGCCAGACCAACACTCAGGGTCTTAAAATAACTGAGGAGAATATGCTACCTTTCTATAATCTCAAGAAATGGATAGATATTCTAGTCTTCTCGGATAAGGACGAATAAGATCTTGTGCACGGTGACTCGGTGGTGATTTGGGCGCCAAGCTAATACACATCAAAACGGCCTCAAATCGCGAGGAGAACAACACAGACTACTCTCTATGAAGGTAAGACTTTATTTCTTTGATTATTTCACACAACTTTACATTTACGGAGCTCAAAAGCAAGTCCAACTAAACCACAATACAAACTCTTTAATAATCTACTGTGAAAGAGCCTGTGAGAGGGCTTGGGGCACCTGTGGTGTTATTAGATTTTAGCACTGCTCATCTTTCTTCGCAATTTTCCAAAGTATAATATGGAAATCATTATCGTTTTCTTCCTTGTTTATTGAATATTTATATTCATTCATGACGGTACATCTCTTTTGAATATTGAATACTTAGAGGTGCAATGCATTTTGAACGGGGTTATGGCGAAACCATGTAGAAACCAAGCGACCCAACGACAAAGTTGTTTATGATGAGTTCTTGTTTAACGTTAAAAGACCAGCCTGACCCAAACTAGGTTGCTCGGACCTGAGCAAGTGAGTGCCCCTTTACGGTAGCGGACAACGCCAAAAGCGCATGATGCAAGAAAGCTTGAAATTACCAGCAGCTATAATCATAACGAGAACAAAGTAAACCTGAGAGAAACACGGAAGCAAGAGGTGGGCTCCTAATGGAAATAATTTGCTTTTAAATGAGCAAGGCTTTAGACAATACAAGGGTTTTTCTTTAATACATTTCTTTAATTATTAGTTAGGGTCACGCTCAGTCTGGTTGGTGCGTGACAGTTCGTGTTTATTAACCAACCCGCTGTACAAAAGGACCGTAGGGCGGTATAATTTAGAAGACATTTTGAACCAGGTCCAACTTTCGATTGATACTGTTATCCTGAATTTATTCAAACAAGCCATGTCTGTCGTCAAGGAAAACTGGCAATCGGCAAAGCCTTTCATAAGAGAAAGGAGTAAGTTCATTTTCAACAACGATTTGTTCAGCGATGTAAAGTTTGTTGTCCGAGCGAGGGATGAAAAAAGTGAAAGTAAAAAAGTGATTCCCGCACACAAGTTAGTATTGTCGATCAGCAGTCCTGTGTTTGAAGCCATGTTATATGGTGACTTGGCGGAGACTAAAGACTCTATTGAACTGCCTGACTGTGAGTACGAGAGTCTATTGGAGTTGTTTCGTTACATGTACAGCGATGAAGTGAACTTAAGTGGGAGTAATGTGATGGGAGTGTTGTATCTGGCGAAGAAATACATTGTGCCTTCACTAGCTGAGAACTGCTCGAAATATCTGTCGAAGAATTTGGATCCATCAAATGTTTTCAGTATCCTTCCTTCTGCTCAGAAATACGAAGAGAAAGACCTGGTGGATCGATGCTGGGAAATGATAGACAAACACACAGAGGAAGCTGTGGAATCTGATGAATTTGCGACAATTCAAAGGTCCTTACTTAACGCAGTAGTCATAAGAGACACCCTAAGGGTCGAGGAAATAGAATTGTTTAAAGCTGTTGACGTGTGGGCCACAAAGGAATGTGAGAGACAGGGTTTAGAGCCAGGTGGTGCAAATAAAAGAAGAATTCTTGGTGAAGAAACAGTTAAAGCAATACGCTTCCCAATAATGATACTTGAAGATTTTGCTGGTGTAGTATTGGATAGTAAAATTCTTAACTTAGGTGAAGTTTCCAGCATTGTAAAATATCTGAGTTCAGTGACAACTTCTGCAGGAGGATTCTTAGATTCAGAAAGGTCACCTGTTTCCTGTGCCTGTAGTGAGGTGCAACGTTGTCTTAGATTTAGGAGCTTCAGAAACCTTGATGATTGTAAAACAAATTCCCTTTCTGTCCTTGAATTTTCGGTGAACAAGCGTGTAATGTTACATGGGGTATATATCCGTGGTCAGGCAGACATCTTAAGCTGTGCAATAGAGCTAACTGTTAGCACTAGCGATAGAAAATCCAAAAAAGTGTCTGGAGAGTTTTCCGTTGAGAATGTCACGGACCATGATGCATTTCCCTATTGGGGTTATAAAATTTTGTTAACAGAATCGCTGCTTTTGAGGAAAAACACGCTGTACCGCATGGAAGCCAAAATATCTGGTACTATTAGTTGGTGTGGAAATACAATTATTAATCCTGTGACTTGTTCTGGTGTAACATTCACATTTAAAGAGACACCTGTAGAGGGCTTTCCTGAATTATTATTCTCTTCTATAATTTAGGAAAATAATGTAATTTAGAATCTTTGAGTGATTTATTCACTTGTTTTGCCTGGGAAAAAAGTAGACTCCAACCTCAATTTGAAAAAAGATAATCATTTTGATAGTTAGTGCTAACATCATCTTGGAAGGATGAAGAGAAATTTCCAGAATGAAGACTTGACAAACCCTATTTTTCCTATTGGTTTGGTACAGGTAATTTAAAATCATAACCCCCTTTTAATATTTTCAAACATTATTGACTTTTCCTATAAATTTCTTTGTGTTTATTTTTAAGTACCTTTCACAGACATATTTTAGATTCCCATTTTTTGTGGTTGAACAACTGTTAATAGTGAGGCTCTCACATGCGCTTTGCGCATGTGGGGCAGAACCCCATACCCATGGAATATGGTCAACCTCTTTTCGTTTGGTTGTCACGTGACTGATTGAGCATACATACATATGTGCCTTCAGATTGCATGGGTAGGGTAGGGGAGACTATCAAAACAAAGGGAGGGGTGTCTCAGGCGAGTCTTGGCAAATGCACATCTTTTATGTTATCATTAATATTACAAACTTGGGAGCTCTGCTTTTCGGCGTGGCTAAAGTCTATATATTAGGCAGGCAAGCTATTTCTGTGGTTGATTTTCTCAGGTTATGATGATGTAAGATTTTTTTTGCACCATATTTACACTGAAAAGTGCTAGTCTAATAGTGTCCCTAGTAATGCAAGGCAGCCCCTGTCTTGGTTTACATGAAACCTCCATGGAACTGAGGGTGGCAGCAACTGTACCACTGGTATATTAGTTTAATGAGGAGTGACATTGGTGAAAAGGTGCTTGGCAGTTACTGTAGTGAATTGTAAGATAGGCAACCAAATTAAATTCTCCTCATTGAAGGTAGAACATATGTTAGTACTGCTTATTATGGCCTTCAGCTAATTTAATTAATAGGCTTTGGTTAAATGTTCACAATACAAGTATGTTTCTGTCTGGTCACTTTGTCATTTTTAAAGTAAATTAATGCTTGAAGTTTTGATTTGTTTCATTACTTTTATGATTCCTGTAAGCATTAGAAACTAAAAATTAAAGGTGCTATTTTAAACACAAGATAGCTTGGATGGTTTATTTGCAAAAATAAAGCCACAAAACATTGATAACATGTGTGTAGTTGTAATTAGTAATTAAACATGAAGTACTGTTTTTATTGATACGAGGATGGTCTTCCTGAGACATCTTTTCCCTCTACTGTTGTGATTGGTGGCTAGCAGGTAAGAAAAGAAAATCATAAAAAAAAGCTTGGGGATTTTCATGGGCTTGAGTATACATTTTTCTTAAAAATTATGTAGAGTGGTCCTTCGAAATATAAACGTCAGTTATTGAAGTTTTATAATAAGTGATATATATCACCCGGCCGATTATTGCACCAGAGTTAATAGATTATTAACTCTGGTTGTACATAGTGAAAAAAAACTTTTTTTGGTGTGTTGTTTCTCTTTCCATTTTAAAGCCAGCTTAAAAATAGTCTGTAATGTCTTTGTTTGCGTGTCTTTTAATTTTGGTTCATGATTGGGTGTTCTTTCCCTTTTAATGGCACATTTATCCCTTTCTTACACTCCTTAATTAAAGACATGCATCGGAGCGCCATTACATTTGAGCATAGATGAAATGTTTCCTCACTCGGAACTGGTCAGCTCAGACGACCACCACAAACCGTATAGTATTATCCAAGCTTTAATAATTATTCGATCTAAGAGAAATAAGTTTGTAATTTGAAATCAGAAAAACACAAAGTCTCAGTCTCGTAGCAAAAATCAAGAAAAACGTGATTGGAACCACGAGTCTTGCAATTAAAATATCTCTGTCATCAAAGGCAACGCCTATTTACTAAACGAAATATAAATTAAATAGCAGAGTTTTCCTAAAAAGGTCATACTGGAGTCAAAATACTTCTTCTTCGAAATGATTGCGCACTTCATTCTTGTCCTAAAAACTGTAGTCCACTTGTCACATATGACCTTAAAATGTACTCTCCATTCATGGCAAGTTCCCCGCAGCTCAGTGGGAAGAGCATTGAACCGCGAAAACGCTCTCAGTCGGGATGGAAATCCTGTTCTAGGGGACTTGCCTTTTTTTGTTATTTCCTTTTAATCTTGTCTTTTTTTGTTATTGATTTTTTTTCTTATCCATTTTCATACCAAGCTTACAAATAGTCTGGAGTATTTTTGTATACCCGTCTTTTCAATTCATTACATTAGAGAAAGTTTCCTTTCACGTATCGGCAAGTTTACACTTTTACTATACTCAGGAAATGCATTGGAACACTGCTAAGTTTGAACATTTTTTAATCAGACAACAGCATTTCCGTTGTTAAGTCATCATTGTTTGGAGTGTTCCAGGGGACTGCCGTTTTTTCGTTACTTCCCTTTTTTTTTGTTAATTTTTATCCTTATCCCATTTCATACCAAGTTTACAAATAGTCTGGAATATTTTTGTATACCCGTCTTTTCAATTCATTACATTAGAGAAAGTTTCCTTTCACATGTTGGCAAGTTTACCCTTTTTCTATATTCTTTAAGTTAGGAAATGGATTGGAACATTGCTGAATTTGAACACTCTTAAATGCTCCCAGTTGGCTTGTTTGCTCAATTAGTAGAGCGCTGCACTAGTATCGTAGAGGTCAGTGGTTCGAATCCCGTACAGGCCTGATTTTTTTCAGGTCTGATTTTCGCTATTGCATAAATAGCGCCCTCTACTGCGAGGATCGTGCATCATACGTATCTAATACCGCAGTTCAAAATATATGAACTTCATATATTCATTGTAACTCTTGAATCAGACAACAAAGTTTTTGTTATTAAGTCATTTTAGAGTCAAAACACACAATTTTCCACAAAATCTCTGTGCACTTATTCCTTGCAGCGCGTCCTCCACTTCCTATGTCTCCATCCATGGCAAGCTCCCCGCAGCTCAGTAGGTGGAGCATTGCAACGCGAAAGCAGTCCCAGTCAAGATGGAGATCCTGTTCCGGGGGACTTGCCGTTTTTCATGTGATCTCTTTTTTAATCTTTTTTAATGATTTGTTTCCTTTTCCAATAATCTAATGCTTATATCTATTTTTATGGCTTTTGTGAATTTCTTAATTGGATGTGATCGTGTCGAGTTCTTTTTTTTAAATATTTAATTGCATTTTTTTAAGGAACACGAGAGACTGAGTTTAAGTAAGAAGAACAAGTGTAATGCAGTCAGCAATGGCATTAATTCAGTGGAGGTTTCTGATACGTTCCCTTAGAGGGCGGGGGAATAAAAATCTTGACCTAATTGTGACGTACTCCTCAGTGATTGGTTCGTTTCCATGTTCCATATTCAAAGAAAATTCCAATGTTTTCTCAAACCAAACAGGTCGTGGACGCGTTGCTGTGAGAACATTTTGAACCAAGAAAGTGCTTGATGATGGAATGAGACTGAAACTTAAACGATGTCGTAAGGTGGGCATTGCTTCTGAATAGTTTAATTTAATGCCCGTTTTAGAGAAGTAAAATGCAAGGTTACAGAAGAATAGCTCTCTCGGTTTGCCTTTGATTCGGTGCTTTTCTCTCAAAGACCGACGCTCATTTCGTTCACTTCGTTCAAGCAAACACTAGTCTCTAGTTGTATCTATTATTGTGTTGTGCAGCCAAGTGCATTTGAAATAACTGTATTTCTAAAATAACCTTCGTGTTCCTTCTAAGAGTATCATTCGAGCGTCACGGTCTTAAGTTCTGTACGCCCGTTACACTCGCCCTTGGATATGCAGTTGTGACTGGAATATTTATAAAGCTAAGAACTTGTCAACCGACCAAAAATTGTTTTTCTCATTTCTCTGCAGAGAAGACCAAGTTTATGAAGAAGACAACAGTACAAAGAATTCAAGAGGACAAATTGGAATCGCTGAATCAAGCGGATACTCTGCCAAGATAAGATCTTTATAAAGTTATTTTTAAGTTCTAGGGAAAATGGTGGCTGTCTAAGTTTCTAAATTTGCTTAGATACTTCATTGAAATGAGTTTAAATCGAATTGATGATTACAAAGAGGGACTAGGGTAAAAAAATCAACTAGGCGTGGAGAAAGCAGGAGAGCAATCCTGTTAACGACTTGGCCAAATGCAAAGATGGCAGCCACCAGTTGAGTGATGTTTAAAGATGGCACTTCGAGACAAACGATATTTTGAAGAAAAGCTAAGAATGTTGTAAAAAAGCCAAGATCGCTCTTTTATAATATTAAAGATGGACAAATAGTCATTCAAGCGTTTGCACCTTTCATATCAGTGCACCATTTCGCCATACTCAACATCGAATTATTTTGGCTTTCGAAACGTTTTGTACTGAAAAATATTCAAATTTCTGAACAAGAAATCCAATTAAAACTTTTGGCAAGATTTCCCAAGAACTCCATACTTCATTATGCATACAATTCTTGGATAAAAGAAAGTAGAGGCAAAACAACAGATTACCTTTGGGATTACGGCTTTGTTTTTGATTGGAATGGGGTTATACGGAAATCTTTCCAAACTTTGTCAGTGCCACCTTGAAATATTCACACTTTTTATTAATTAATCTTGCAAGAGACAAGAGAACAATAGTAATAAAAAACTACACTGAAAAAATTATTCATTTCTTGGCGTAGAACAAAAGCGTTGTTCCTTCGCTTTTGCTGGGATGACGTTATACTGACTGCCGCACACAATGACAAATGTGACGAACACAATACGGACGTGAAGTTCATGAGAAAATTATTATTAAGACCTCGCAATGACCTTTTTAGACCGTAAACAAAAACCGATAAATACCAGCCGACAGATTTTCTATACATATTATTCTACCATCAAATGTCACAGAGATGCCACACTTTGGATGTAACAAGTACAAATAGTTCGCAAGGCATCATGGACTAAAACGAAACAAAAAAAATTGGATATCGCGATTTTTATCCGAAATATGACGACAATATCATTTACGTTCGACGTAAGGGACGTAGCACTGAACTTACTGAAAAGAACGCTAATTCGACCAGACTGCTGCGACTCTACCTTCGACAGGGAACATTTCTAAACCATCTGGCTGATCCTACATCTTTACAAAGTACATGACATAAAAAGATCAATATTGTAGATAACAACGAACCCAGTAACAGAAAGAGTGGTCGACAAGTGGTTCGACTGCTAGGCTTTTCACATCGTGAAACTAGCTGTAACTATAACTAGACGGACTGAACACAAACAATTTATGACAAATGTGGAGATCAAGGACATAACTGACGTACAAACCACACTATTGCCTGGCACACTGCCAAATTTTCAGCCTAAATTCTGAAACAATTTTCAACGACTGACCAATAACGATGGTTTATTTCCACGGACAGCCTCTTTTCAACATAAGTCAATAGAATACTAACACCCACAAAAGCAATTATTTTCGACACA